CCAAACCTAAACCCTCACAAAGCATTTCAGAATGTGTGGTTCCCAGCCATCTCCACCTATCCAGCACATAGTAGGGGATGTACATATGTAGGAGGCAGCTTACATACAGTCCCATGCTGTCCTGCCTACAGGACAAAGCCTTCCCCAAAGCAGTGACTGAACTGCAAGAGGCATCTTAAATAGTGGCTTGTTTGCTCTCTCATGGCTATACTGATGCACTGGGGATTTCTGAGCGTCACCAGCTGTTTCCTGCAATGCAATGAACCTGGTCAAGATGTAGGAGAATCACCACATTCTCAACGATCAGCCCATAAGAATCTATCCTATTACTAGCCCTTCCTTAATAATGCAGGAAAATAACTGATCCCATTTCTCCCTCAGAATCAAGAATCAGGTCTAAGAAAGGTACCTAAGGCTGCCCGTTGGTATATATCACTGACCTCTGTCCTGCCTATTGTCCTATTTCCCCACAGAACAAGTATAGGACAAGATTTGATACCAGTCAACTACTGTCCTGGGAAATCAGCCCCAAGAGCCGCCAGACAAATGTTGATCAAGAAGTGATGAAGTACTTTATTTGGTTGCAATATGCGAACTTCTGTTGGTAAAAAGACACTTGTTTGAACCTGAAAAAACTTGTTTCTACAAGTCCAGTTTTTCACTTTGAAGATTGTCTTCTGCTAAAACTTCCAAGATCAGTGAATACCATACATTCTGGCTTTAAAACTGCAAAAACCTCTATCCATCGCATTTCTGCAGGGGTCACCAGGAGAGGTTTTGAACCTAATTTCTAACTTAAAACTTTGTCAAGTCCCAAGCTTGAGAAAGATTTAACTGTAATTTGCAGAATAAGAACTGTCTGTGTGCATGCTACAAACAGTTAAGACTTTTTCCTAAATTCCCCTGCCATTCAACTCAATGATTTCACTTCACTTGACCCACTCTGGACCTCTCTGTGTTTAGGAACATTTCAATAGCTACAGAAGTGACTAGATAATAGCTAAAATACCAGCCCAGAGTAACTGGAACAAATCAGCTGTGCAGCACAAATGGTGACTGAAACTCAGCACAAATCAGAGCTCTGTACAGAGCTCAGGAAAGGCTGGAACAGCAATCCTGAAGTGCACAATGGCAATTTGTCTACCTGCAATTCTATAATTCATCACATAAAATCAGTAAATTATCCCAGGTCCTTTTTTTGGATAGGTTTCCACTAACATTTTTCTGAACATGTCTACAAAATGAAAAGGCTTTATTATTTCCTCTATGCCATGAAGCTGAGGAAACATAAACTATTATTATTATCACCATCATCATCATTCTTCATGTTGTTATTAGTATTTAGAGTAGGAAAGGAGAAAGTGGAGACCCTGAAAGCAATACATGTTGCCTTACTATACAAAACATAACACAAACAAAATATGTTGACTAGGTTTTGCATGGTAATAAATTTGTTATGACTTCACCCAATTACGGCACATTTAGCAGTTGGTATACCACAATGAAATCTGCAATTATAATTTTTGTGACTTTATGTTCCAGACAAGTTGATGGGATTGCTGCTTAGCAGCTCCTAATCTGGTCTATGTTTTTATGTCCCATATGAAGTTTGTTGCAAATTGCATCTTTCCATTTGTTATTTAGAAGACAGGTGCACAGAAAACAAAGCTGGTAGTGGCAGCCTGAGACGTGTTAGCCACCACAAACTGCAACATATTTATCCTAGAAAAGAAGCCCTATTTTAAGCATAAATCTTGCTAATCAGTAAAATCTAGCTAATCAGTAGCTTCTATGATATATAGGTTACCAAACTTGTTTTGAAGATGCTCACATTTTGAGGTGAGAACTTTGGCTAAAAATAGTCATATTATTGGCAATCACCATGTAAAGGTACAGTTATGGCTCTATCAGTAAAACTGAATGGGCTCTGGTCATCCCTTACATGTATTCTTGCTAGAAAACTGTTGACCTGAGAGCTCTGAGTGTGCTGCATTGTCCCTCATGCTGGGGTGGATCACTTTGCTGACTGACCATTAGGGAGCAAGGGAAGAAATCTAATGGGATCTCAGGTTACAGCCTCTGAAGTGAAAACATAACAGTAAAATTGTCCCATCCATTGCATATTCTGCCTCCTAGAAGCATCTGTTAGGAAATACAAGCTTCACCAGCATCAGTGAGGATGTGGAAGAGTGACTGTGGGAAAGCAATGCTAGTTTGTGAAAAGGCTTAAGGAGAAAAAGCTGACTTGAGCAATAGGAAGAATTTACATGGAGGGACATATCCTTTTGTATCTCCTACCTCAAACGAAAAAAAAAAGAGAAATCAATAATGTCACTGTCAGCAACATTATGCTTCTCTCCCTTAAGTTCCAGCCCGCTGTTAGGCATAGCTCAAATCCACACGGAGAGTGCAGTATTATTGAGATGGAGAATGCCTACAAGATTACTCATGGAGAAAGCTTATTCATAAGACTAAGTGAGTAAGACTTAAACATCTTACAGATAGACAGATATGCTAGAAGTTGTGACTTCCATAACCCCTTTGGTTCATGTTGTTTCAAATATAAGAAAAGGACAAGGCCAATGAAGAGGGTGGCAAATTAATAGCTTTTAACATTTGAGAGTGGGAGGACAAGTGGAAGAATGACAAATAAAATCATCCAGACAACTGGGATCATAGAGAACATAATTCCTTTGCCAATCCATATTTTTTTTACAGAAAAGCAGTTGGGATCCAAGAAATGAAACAGTAAAACCATTCTCAAATAAACAAAAATGAGAAGTGGAGCCAGGTGATAAATGATAAGCTAAAATAGGAAAGTTAAACACCAGGATGTAAAGCTAATGGCAAGGTTTTGCAGGAAGATTAACAATCACATTCACCTTCTGGACCACAGTTTGGACAGAAATGATAACCTGTCGGAAAGTTTCATTTCCCATTCCTGCACCCACCAGCTAAATGACTGTGCTTGGCTCCAGGACTACCGAGCATTGCAGCCCCAGATTGGAAGTTCAAAACAACCTCAGTGAAGAATTATGCTAAAGTTTCATTAGCTTTCAGCAAACTGTAAGGCTGAGATAATACAAAAACAGTTTTAATACGACGACTGCACTCTAAGAGGGTTTGGGGAATTATTAAGTGGTAGGTAAATAATGTATTGTTTTACATTTACTTTATCAATGTTAAAAAAAAAAATCTACATTTACAGTCGCTAAATATAAATGTATCTATTGAACAGCACTGCCTGAGAACTAAAGGAAGGAAGGAATTCTTATGGATGAATTCAGAGCGATTTGAGATAGTGCATTGACTCATACTGGACAAGACAGCCTTGTTTAATTCAAGAAACGGAAAATAAGAGGGAAAAAGCACAAAAAAGTAAACCTGGAAATTAATTTTCAAACTTTCAACAAATGAATTCTCATCACAATTCCAAAATATCTTGTTCATGATGTCTGCAACTTCTGCAAGTGAAACGTCTTCCTTTGAGGTGTGAAAATATGTCAGATAGGTGTACCTGTTGCTGTTCAATTTTAAGAATGGTCATTCCATCTAATGGAATTTTGAAAACCACACTGAAATCCTTTTATTGGAAAGCAAAAGAAACTAACCCCAAAGTATTTTCATCCAATCTATAAATACCTTGATTCCTGAAAGAGCTCAAATACCACCCTGCGAATCCATCAGACACTGAAACAAGTGATAAATGTCTCTGCCTTTTTTAAAATTTCAATAAATAATTTTTGCAAGTGGGCAGTAGGCTACATGACCTCAAAAAGGTACCACACATATGCACTTTAATCAAAGTTTGATTTGCCTTAATGCTGTGTAGACATATCCCCTGCCACAAATTTGAGTGTTGTACTAAGATGGTTCTCAGTTGTGATTAGCATTAATATACTAGTCTCAAATTTCATTGATTTCTACTTGAACTACCTTACTGCACAAAAAATTGATCTTAATTCTTTTACTATGAGGTATTACAGCAACTACCAAAGACTACCAAATTACCTAAAAAAACTGACAGTAAGCGTGCTTCCACATACCACAGAATTCATGTGAATAAGAAAAACTGAGATATATGTGGTACCACAAGCAGTTGACTCAGAAAAGATAAAAGCTAACCCAAGCCACCAAAGAAAGCAGAGTCATTCACTGGCCATCTGGGATTGTTTAAAGGTAATAGAATAAGATAATTCTTCAGATTGCTATTATTGAGCTTTGCCTTCCTTTCACATCTGTAATAAACATTTGGAATTTTAGAGAAGGTATGTAGGTGTAATTGAATATAAAGGTAAGTAAGAAATTATATCTGAGAGAAGAATTAGTTCTAATCTCCATCATTCAGGATAAGTAGGAAAGACATGGCCAAAACACTACAAATGTTTCGTTCCATGGAATATACTAGAATGTCAAAATTTTTCATTTCTAATCAGAACTGAAACATACCCTCTGAATAGTCTTGGCTTCGAAAAAGCCGTGACATTATTTGAAATTTGAAACTGTTGTATTCTATGTCTTCAGGTTTTTACTATCTATACAGTATTTCATACCATAAAAAGTAATTAAAAATGAACTCTGCTTCTGCTATTGACATAACAAGACTATGTTATGATATGTTGAGATATGCTACTTGTACCTTATTTGGGGGAAATGTTTAAGGCACAAGCAACTACAACATCTTTCTCCTAAATGAAGTTGTCCCTTCTTTATCACAACAACACAGTTGCAGGGGCCCCAGAATGCCCTACCCAGTCCAGCCTCGGGTCCTTGGTCAGGCTATAGCCTTCCGCACTTCACAACTATCAGTGTGCTCCCACCCACTGTCTTTGAAAAGCGTATGGCAAACCCTCCCTCTCCACTGACACTGGCATGTGTCCCAAGGCCCCAATTCAACTTCCCCCTGCTATGCAGCAGGACCTGTCCCGCTAGATGGGACTCTGGAGCATGCAAATATGAAATAAAAGAAAGTAATAAAAAAGTTGACTAACCTAACCCACCTGAGCTCGGCTCACAGGGATCGATGTCCTCATCATCGCTAGGACATTCAGCCGAGGCCACCAGGATGTCATCTGTGGTCTGCAAAGAAAATAAAAGTCAAATAAGTATAATTCAATTGACTGAATATACTGTAAGATTCTCACTGGCATTTCTTTTATTGCCTGGTTTTATGCAAGGCCCAGAGCATTCCAGACTTAATATGTAATGGCACAGTGACACTCTCCAACTCTATATTAATGGGACTCTGCTTTTCAATTCGCACTTGTCAGTTTTTAGAAGAACAGTGTTAGATATCCAGTACAGGCACTTAAACATTTTAATATTTTTTTGTAATAAGAAAAGAAAGTAGAAGGATAGAATATGTATATTGGGGCTGCTGGTCTTCCATCTCCAATATCTCTACTATGATATTGCTGAAAACACTGAGGACATTAAAAAGACAAGTCAAAATATTGAAGTGCCTGCAGCTGCTAAAACTACCAGAAATGTAGAGATGTTTTCTCCATTAATTGCACTTGTTTCGTCAGATGTAGAGCCAAAGAAAAGAAGCAAACATAACTCTTACTGAGTTGAAAACTATTAAATTAAAAGTAAAGGAAAGAAAACAATAAAAAATATATGCAGTGTTAGAAAATACCATCCTATCTTCTTAAAGTATTTTCTTAAGTATTGCCCACGTGCCCTGTTTAGGTCCAAGGGGCTCTAGGAACATCTGTCCAAAATGAGCTTGGATGGTTCTTTTCATAAAGAAATCAGATAAATCAAGACCACAAGACAAACCAAGGGATGTATGATACAACATGTTATTAAGAAAAGAAATGGGGGATTCCTATCTATTGCTTCATACAGTGCAAGAACAAGGAGATATTCAATGAAACACTGAGGCAATCAATCTGAGCCTAATAAAATGAAAAACCTTCTGTTCAAGCCACCTCTGAGAACAGTCATTTAGAAATGTATTATGAACATCCACAGTTATTAGGGGAAATAACAGCAGGGAAATATAAACTGTCATGCTCCTGGTCATTTCTCAAGCAATTACTAATGAGGTTAGGAAGAAGGTTTTCCTATGGACAAGATGTTTTATAACTGTCCATTTCAAGCTTCTGTTCACTTCACCGAAGGAAATACACAGAGAATAAAAAGAGTTCATGATACTGAAACAAGTGGCTAAGGATCTAGCAGGCAGAAAGCTCTTCTTGGATCCCTGCACGATACATATGCCAACAAAGAGATACAACCCACTTTGGTCAATGTGAAATACTATTTTTAGGGGTTTTTTTTCCCATGTGTATAGGAGAGGGACCTTACAATACATCAAAGTTTTACATTAGTTTAAGTCTGAATCTGTAATAATCTTATTTCTTTACTCTATGGCCAAAACCTAACCAATGTTGTTTATCATTATTATTCTGACAAGTTTTAAAGCTAAGTGTATTACAGTAATAGGCTTTTCTTTGTCATGCTTCAAGAATATTAATGAACATATGCTTTCAACACTTCTGTGAAGTAGGAAAGTGATACGGGAATACATTCATTAACATGTGAGGCATAACACAGAAAAGCCTATCATAATAATAATATATTTTACAGGTAGAAGACTGAGGCATAAGAGAATGAAGTAACTTGCTGAGGGTAACCAAAAAGGCTATAGGCAACAGCTATGCTTTGTCACAGTTCAATGCCATAATCATGAAAATTATCTTTCCTTGTTCTTGTGAAAATGTATAGCTGGGGGAAACCTTTCTGTAAATCTGTAAGTCTGCCAAAATGAGCTGGCAGGTTTGCAATTAGAGTTAAAAAGACAAAAAAAAATAATAATAAAAAATAGAGTACTCTAGTTCTTCATTCTTTCTGCCATGTAGAAAAACAGAGTTATAACAAAAGCCAGCTGCAAACATCCTCTTGAATTTCTAATGCCCATTTCTCTTCCCCAAAATACAAAGATTAAGCTGGACAAAAATCAAGCTTAGTTTTTCCTAATGTATAAAGAAAAAATAAACAACCAGGTAACCTATGAAGCCTGCACATAAAGTTAACTCTTTGCAGAAAACCCACAACTAATAAGTCTAAAAAAGTACTAATAAGAATTTAAAAAATCAGGCATCTCCCAAACAGTTTCAATTTGGTCAGTGAAACCTCAGTGTCATATTTTTCCTTCTCCCTGTAACACTGGAGAAGAAACTATACATTTATGACCAGAATACTGAATATTCACCAACTGATTACTGGGGAATTGTACACAAACACCATTAGGCAGAGAGCATTGCATGCACACATAATAGCTGTCGCAAGAAATGACGTTCTGTGAGATCTACTGGTCTAACTGGAATTTCGTTTATGGATGCTTTGGTACACTCACGGATGAGTAATCCTTGTAACTTAAGTGAACTGAAGCAAAATTATCAGAAAGGTTTATAGTATTATTGCAGTGTCTCTGAGTATTCTTCATATAGGATAGTATGGTCGGAGTTTAATTACCTCTACTTTTTGTACAGTTTACACTGAATTCAAAATTACCAGAAAATAACTATGGAAAAATCATAGACTTTAAGCATCTTAATGTGTGAGAGATACTCTGCTTATAAGAGGGACTGTCAAAACTGTCTTTATAAAGTGACACTAATTCCAATCTATGGAAAGAGTATTCACACTTCTACAAGAACAAAGGGATGTTCTTGACTGATAAAAGTGCAGGTATATTATGGGTACAGAAATGAATTATACCTTAAATAAATGTGAATAAGCATATCAAGAAACACCTCATTAATGACTCAGAGTATTCAAGGAAATAATGTATGTTTCAAGGTCAATACTGGATATAAAACTAATTTTGTTGGAAGCAATAAATCAAGTATCTATATTCAAATAAGAAGGGAAGTGGTAAGATGATGTGAAAAATGTTTCCTTCAAAAATATATGTCAGGAAGAATTCCAGTTTAAGTATCACTTAACAGATGTGTAACAACCTCACGCTATTCTCCCCTGTCCCCAAACCCAAATACCTCTTCCCTGTTACTCATACATATTTTTACCAGAAAAAAGGCAAAGGACCTGTGAAAGGCAAATGAGATGGCAGTGACCAAGCTACATATGAAAGCCACTGGACTGCTTAACACAACTTAAAATGGGATTAAGAATTAACTAAAACACTAGAGAATCTAAAGAATACAGAAATAAAAGAAATACTAGGTGCCAGCTACCAGAGTTCTTTCTCCAGAGAGCTCTGACTGATGGTTATTTACGTGAACAGAGAATGGGATGTAGACCTCAGGGTCTCAGACAGCCATGGGGTAGAGAGAAATAATGCAAGATAGAGTTGTAGGTTTTACTTACTGCACATTATCTTTTCCTCGTGTTTTTTAATTTGGATGGGAAGATTTAAAACAAATCAGTTCTCCTAAGTGAATTGCAATTGTTGCTAGCACTATGGCTAATTTACAGGACACTGCTTCGAGCATTCTCATTAATCTAGTATTTAAAAGTCAGTGGAAAATCTCTTCTTTACAGTGAGTGCCTAATGGGATAACATCCAACTGGTATCATCAAAATACACGATCGGATTAGAATGTCTCTTGGGCGAGTTGTTCAAATTAATTTAAGAAGTGATACTCTACTTGTAAGAGATTAAAAAAAAAAAATTAAAATAGCAGGTGTACAACCTGGAAGGCCAGGCAGAATTTCTTTTGATTGCATCTTCCTTTCTTTGTGGTTATTTTGTTTGTTTGTTTTGGTTTGTTTTTGTTTTGTTTGTTTGTTTTTTTCCCAGACCTTTACAGATTCTTTCTGCAGATGTGGTTGTACAACTTAAAATGCAGTCCATGGTAATATGTGGCTTCTTAAGAAGTTGGACATGTGTTCACATTTCATAAAAAGGATGGGAGAAAAAGCTTACAATCAATGTGCCAATATAAGAAATACACCAAAAAAAAAAAAAATCACATTTTGTAAAGCTAGAAGTCACTGCATAATGTCATTTGTGACAATTATTCCAATTATTCATGGATGTGAACCCTGCAGGAATAGGTCTTGCTTATATCAGTCAGGTGTGCTTGCAAATACAAGGGCTTTGGGATTTGTCTCTTAGCCAAGAGAGTTTAAAATATCGCCAATCTTCCACCTTGCCTGAGGAAGGAAATGGTGACTATTTCAAGAAAGCTCCTGGCCAGATCAAGAAATGATGCTCTAGTCACGGCTTAAATACAATGACAATCTGTAGCTATGAATAAATATCAAGCTGCCTCAAAGGTTACTAATATGGGTTTAAAACTGGTACCAGCAATTACGGCTGTGCCCTCCCAGTAGTGCTCTTTGAATGCTATATCATTAAAAACAAAGAAGAAAAACAAAACAAAACAAAAATGCAAAGGAATAAACTATACAGGAAAGTAATTTTTTTTGATTATTCAGTTTTTGCATGAGTGGGCATAAATACATACCTTTTTATTCAGTTTTTATGTATGAAGCCTGTTATACCTGAGGGTACCAGAGAAATATGATCTAAAAATTAAATCACCAATCTGACTTGTGCATTCATTAACAGTATAATGGATCATGCATATTTTCTGCTGTAGTATTCCACCAGTTCTCCCTTAAAGCATAGCACCCTACAGCTACTCTAAATATAGTTTATTCCTTTCTTGTTCAATAATATACTTTATCCCATGAGAACTGCATGTAAATCCAAATTACACAACAGTTAAAAACTAGCAGTCCTAAATTATTATATGAATTATAAACAGCAGAATTGCTTGTGACTACTGTTTAAATTCTTTTAGATGAGAACTTCAATTGTGTAATCAAAACTATTCTTATTTATTTGTACAACTTTGGCACTTAATGTTACCAGCCAGGCACCATTGTGGAAAGGAAAAGGCTGTGCTCTGAGGAGCTTACAGTCTGATTTTGGACCAGATGCCCCAAACTAGCATGAGAGAGGGGAGCAGAGGATAAGAAGGGTCAGGTGAGGATGCTACTGATCAGCACTAGAAGTTACGCAGGCTCTGATCTAGCAGATTTTCTGAAATTATGTTCCAAGACAGCAGGAAGGATGGGAGGAAGAAAGAAGGCAGAGAAAG